CGTATAATTCATCGTAATCAGAATTTCTGAGGGGCACACTTGAGCTCCACAAGGGATCGTGTTGATAAATTTTTTAGAATTGCTATGATTTCCGAAGTTTTCTGCGAAATGAATAGCATTATCCAGAAAGACGATACGTAACAAGCAGTATCGTTTTCAATGTCATTAACTACATCTAACAAATTTCGAAACAATTTGCTGTTACAGAATTTCACATTGAGCATACCTTGGTCGAGAAATTCGATCTCTGAATCATGTCGAAGTCGATCGGATTCAATGTCGATTACATCGAAAATGATCGAATTTTGACTAAATCCAACCGGATTCTGTCGGATTGAGACCAGAATCCAGTGACCCAATATCCGACGAACATTTAACCCGAAAAGGATTTTGTCAAATCCGACAAGTTCCGATGAATGAATCCAACCTGGTGTGATAAATGGATCAGGCAAGATCTTATAGAATCATGCATCGAAACATAAAAGATTCCACAGGATCCGGCGGGATTTTAAGCATTAGACTTCAATAGCTCATCTCTTTCCAATTCACTATCATTTGTTAATTATACAAAAAAAAAATTAGGATATAGCAGGCCAATGGCAAGAATCCAGTGGCTATCCTCATTATGTCTTTATTGAGAACACAATGCGAGATAAACACAAATATCGTTATTAAACGTAGTACGAAGATATCAGCAGTGTATAAATTATATTCCGATACCCCTCTAACTGTACCCTAATGCCTATAGCCTTACATATGTATCCTTATACCTATAGCCTTATACGTATCACCTTACCCTTATAGCAGTACCGTTACACCTATACTCTTGTGCCTATATCGGAATAACAATATCCTTATCACTATACTCTTCGAACGACACACCGACGACTATAGCTTTAGTCCGGTACACCTACGGATGAAGCTAAGGATTTCAGTAGTTACGAGAATTTCTTTTTTCTTCTCTTTTATCATAAACTGTCAAATTTTGTAAATATGATGTAAAATATTTTGCAGCTCGATGAATAGTACCCTAAGTTTTCATAAGTGTAGTGCTACCTAGAGAAAAGATATATAGCTGATACTATATAAGAAGTTTTTTTTCGCAAGACCGAAAAATAAAATAGTGCTGAAGGTTTGCATGAAATCAGCAAAAGAAGAGTGGAAATGAAGAAGATGAGATGAAGAAATATTGGAAAAGTACACTTGAATTAATTATTCGAAAAGGTTATTTAGATGTCTGTAGTATGTTTGTTGAAAGATATTCATCTCTAATGGACTTTGTGTAAAAGGATGATTAATGTTGGTAATTGGTATTTAATTTGATTGAGTGTTTTCGTAACATTTTCTCAGTCTACAATTTTACTTTGAATACCTTTTGTTTTTGAAGAATCAGAAAAAAATTAAATTAAAAATGTAAGAATGTTGAGAAGAAAGGATTGTAACGATCTGGAAGGCACTGAATTCCTAGTGGTACTAAAGGTAGATTAGTTCAATTACTATATTGTTTGATATTGTGTTTGTAATAAAAATTTGTTATTCTAGATATTTTCATCTAAATAAAAAATTCTTTTTGGCCATATAGTACCAGCTATGCATCTCCCTTAGTGATAAGGCTAGAGCTTTGAAAATTTAAGGAATTATTCACGTAGTTGCAAAATATGTTATGTCGTACGTTGAGCCTTTTCGGATCTGAAATAGAAGGTAAGAAATTTTTCCAGTAAGTGGCTAAACTTTTGTCTAAGTCTATGAGTAACATGGAGAACAACAATCCTCATGCGAAAGCAGAAAGAAGAAGAAAAGAGGTTATCATGTAATCAATGAAGGGTAAAGAAGAACTGTTGCACAACTAGTTTTGCTATCTCACACGAAGTACACGAGTACAAATGACAGGAGCATACCATAATGAAAAGAGACCACAGATCATTATTGTATACTTTGGTACAGTCAACAGATTATGCCATGATAAAATCTTTTTGTCTAAATAGATCTCGCTCATGAACACTCCTCATATAGAAAGTATTTGATGGCTATTTATCACACATTAAATGTTCAATTCATATATTCAGTCAACTGCTAATAATACTTAGGGCAGTCCAAAAGTAGGGGCAGTGACATTATAATACCGTATAGTAAGCTTTAAGAAACTTTCTCTCTATACAATCTGATAGAGGAAAGAATGATTGATTTTTCTATGTTATTTGCTCGTACTTCAACTAACATCATAATAGTAAAATTTCGATAAGACCTATCTTTCTATCATATGAGACGGCTATATGAATGTCTATTTAGTGGTTATTTTTCAAAAAACTTTTGATGAAAACAAGGTAGAGATATACAGCTTTCATCGTTCGAAAGAGAAAATAAAGTTGCATCGAATCGTATATTATAAATTTATTACACGGCTTTTTAAGATTTTCTATCGACCTCTTTGAAAAGAAGCCTACTTCGTAAGGTGTTTACAGATAAGCCTCAATTTCCAGACATATATTCAAACCGATAATGCACTGAAAAAAAATAGGTATCATACCGAATCTTTTTGCAACGAATTCTAAGCCCTCGAAGGAGTTTCGTAAAAACCTTTCACCCCTTCAAAATGATTGTTACCGATCGAAAAGTCGTTTTTAAAAGTTTGTTAGGGGTTTTTAGGGTTTGGTACGAAACCTGAAAAGGTTCAGAATTCGTTACAAAACTCGAAACCTATAAAGGTTTCGTATATTGTACGAAACCCATTTTCTGCCCACGAAGCGCTCAGAGGTTCGGTAATGTGACTATTCTTTTTTTCGTTGTGAAAGATCTAAAAAACCGCACAAGGTTCAGATGTTTAGAATTAATCATTTCGGAGTTATAGATACTCTGGTCAAAGTTCTAAGTGATTTTTCCAAAAATTTCTGTGAAATAAAAAAATCATTTCTTGCGATGCTTAGAAAAATTATTGAAAAAACTTCAGGAAAAGTCTAGACAAAGAAATATTATGCAATTCAATGCATCTTCATCTTCACTTCTCAACGGTGAAATCCAGAGCTCTATATCTTGTTTCTCTGAAAAGTTGTTCAAAACACATAGTGTAACCGTCTTATATGATAGAACAAACAGGTCTTATCGAAATTTTATTATTATACTATTATTTGGAGTACGACCAAATAACGTAGAAAAATAGAGCATTCTTTCCTCTATCAGATTCTATAGAGAGAACGTTTCTTGAACCTTACTATACGATATTAAAGTGACACTGCCCCTACTTTTGGACTGCCCTAAGTATTTTATTTTGTTCAACATTGTAATCGATTTGGTGCTTTCATTCTTATTGCGGCAGTGTGATAAATTTTAGGTATGAGAAATCATTCAGTATTCATTGGAAAATACTGCTCTAGTAATCATTTTGTAATAATTTTTCTTCATCCTGCTCAATCAGTAGCATGCTTGCGCTCATTTTTTCATGAAAATCTACAAGTGCATCCTATTAGAAATAATTTTACATACAGAATGTGTTCCATTGCTATCCGACAAATGTACTCTGTCGTATTCGTTATTCGAAATTCATCGAAATCAGGTAATCGGAATGCATCGGAAATTATAGGAATGAATTGAGATCCGATAGGATTCCTATCGGATTCAGTTATCGGAATTCATTAGGTTGAGACAGATCCGACAGAGTCCGATGGCACATTTTCGACCTGGTTATACTCAACATGAAGAGCTTCGGAGTTGAAATCTCCAACTTATTACGATTAAATTGCATATGTTTTATATTTCGAATGACTATTAGCGTATTTTCTATGATTTCTTAGTTTTAACCGCACAATTAGATTATCATCAGATACACAATAACCCGCAATACAAAGTTGAAAAGTAATTTTATAAACGATATAGTGAATCGTACCGCATATTGTATTCCTCATCCATTTCTTTAGAACACCGAGAACTAACACAGACTGTGATTTCATTACATAATCCTCTCCCTTTATGATAACCATATTTCACTAAAATTTGTTGCGATCTAAAATTAAAAACTTCAGTTTGCTTAACACATTTTTAATTCGCAACCTCGACACGTGAGGCTAACTAAAACTCGCTCATACAGCTAACTCGTGTTTTCAACGAACGCTGATTCCTCAAATATAGAGCGAGAATACACCGAAGCAAACATGCAGCGATACGCATAGAAGAATTTGCTTCCATGTACTCTATATACGAAACCTCGTATGCCATATTCTGGAGTCAGGAAAACACATAGCACAGCAGCAACTGCTAAAATATTTCTTGCATTAAAATACAAAATCATAGTAAGCATTTTTCAAAAAAGCAGCATTTGTGTGCTACTCGTTCGTATTGGCAGGAAGCCAGAAGAAATGACACGCGCAATATCTATGTAGCCATCCGAACTCAAAAATCAGTGTACTCCGATACAAAGCAATGATGCACATCATCTCATTTTTCAAAACTCTCTCGGACCTGAATAACTCTTCACTCCTAAAACTACATAACAAGTCGGGAGAACAATCAACATAAAAACACTTTTAATACGGTATTATAGTTTTAAATACTTTACAGATTTTCAACGGGTCAAAACTCTTTCTTTCCGCATACAACAAACAAGAAAAACGGACTTTCTGTTTTTCATTTTCAAAAACGAACTTGTCCTGTGGTACAAAAAACAGAAAAAAGGGACCAAGCCCTGTAGCAAACAACTAAATACTTTTCCACAGTATGGCAATACTAGGTAGAAACTTATACCTATGAGAATTCCAACCGCAACAACTGACTTCACTAGGCGGAGATAAAAAAGAACCTTCCTAAGTTTACTTGCTTGTCGTGAATAAAACTTATTGTATTCAGCTCCAGCTTCTTATGCACAATCCCGCATTTGGCTTGATGAACGAATACGTTTTGATCTCGAAAAACCACAAGTGGCAATCTATAATATGCCTTTTCGATATTATCTTTCTTCTGATCACAAATTATCGATAACACAACTCCGTCATGCTCTAAAACTTGTCGTCATGAAGCATAAATGTCTTCGCACATCACTTGTATTCGATATTGAGAAAAATACTTTAATACAACGTATTGTAGAATCAAATGATAATAATAATGAACTGTTTACATTCATTGAAAGTACTATCGAAACAGACGAAGAATTAAAGAATATTATGTATGATGAACGAAAGAATCCCAATCATTTTAATCTGGCTCAAGGTCTTGTTTTCCGATGTCATGTTGTATTTTACAAACAACACTCGAATAATGATCTTGATTATCAAAGAGATACACTCATCTTCAACTTTCATCATGCTATGTTTGACTTTCCCTCAATCGATGTGTTCCATCAAGATCTTAATCAAGCGTACACAACAGGCCAATTATCAGACGAAGATGAAGCTGCTCTTCGTTATATTGATTGTAAGATAAACATTTGTTGTTTTTCTTCAATTAATCTATTTGTCTATATCATTTAGATGCTGTGATTGAACAAGAGGCACCAATGACTGCGGCTAGTGCCTTTTGGCTTGAGTCTCTTCGTGATTGTAAAATTGATCATTCATTGGCATTGCCGTTTGATCGGTACCGTATTTCTGATGAACATCGAACTGGTCGTGGTGCGTTGGCTTTTTTTGATTTTGGTGAAGGTCTTTCACAAGCCTTCATTACTCGTACTTCAATAAGTAAAACAACATTGGAATATATGGCTCTTGCCAGCTATTATGCTTTCTTGTTCAAATTGACTAATGGAGAAAAAGATCTGTGCATCGGAATGAATATTGACGGCCGTTATAAAACTGAACTAATATCAGTTATTGGTATGTTCGCAAATGCAATTCCCTTACGATGTCAAATTGATCCCAATTGGTCATTCATACGACTTGTCGAGGAGGTGCAACAGATGGCTGCGGATAGTTTGCATTATTCTTACTTTCCTCTTCAACGGATTCTTGCTCAACATCCACTTGTATCTAAGCCTGCTTTTCTTGACATATCTTTTCAATTTGACTCAAATTCAAGTGAGAATATCTATAATCAAATCATACTTGGTGACATTTGTCTTAGTCCTGTACCCTATTCTATTGAGATTGGAACAGATGAAGTTGTAAGCAAGTTTGATTTTTCACTTAACATTTATCACAATTCAGCAACTAATCAATTATCGTGTACAATCAATGCATCACTTGATCTATTTGAGAAAGAGACAATCAATAAGTTTGCACA